AAAAACTAACTTCACAAGTACAAAATGAGGGAAGTGTGAGTAGATAGCACTGTATCTGAAAAAAAAGATTGGGAGGTTTAAGTGGCCTTGTAAGCTCAATATTAGTCGACAGTTTGAAAACGGAAGCTTAAAAACTTACCTTGGGGCAGCTAGGTGGCGTAGTGGATAGAGCTCTGGCCATGGAATCAGGAGGACCTGAGTTCAAATCGAGCCTCAGACACTTGACACTTACTAGCTGTGTGACCCTGGGCAAGTCACTTAACCCCATTGCCCCACCCAAAAAAAAAAGCTAATGTGATCTTCAGCTGCATTGGGAGGCATTGTGGCCAAGTGTAGGGAGATGGTCATGCTTCTGGACGCAAGACTCCTACTCAGAGTGCATTGGGATCATTATATTCTGTTCTAGGAGCCCCATGTTAGGAAGGCCATGAATAAACTAGAGCATAGGAGAGCAACCAGGATGGTGAAGGGCTGTGTGGTCACACCATGGAAAGATTGGTTGAATGGCCTGTGAGTGCTTAGCCAGGAGAAGACTTGTGGGGAGGAAATGATAGTTTTCTTCAACTATTTGAAGTGCTGCCATATAGAAGAAGAATCTGACATTTTCTGCTTGGCCTAAGGCAGCAGAACCAGAAGCAATGAATGAATGGAAGTTGCAGAGAGAGAAATGGAAGCTTAGGATAAAGATAAACTTCCTAACCATGCAATCTACCCAGAATTAGAGTGGGCTACTTTTAGAAGTCTTCAGGCACAGACTGGATGACTACTTGTCATGAAAAATGTAGAAGGAATTCTTGTTCAGATCACAATGGAGCTGGGTGACTTGTGAGGTCCCATCCAGTTTGAAGATTTGGGGAATTCTCTTACTTATGCCAGAGTCCTGTTTCTGCCATTTGTTGACTGTCTGACCCTGGACAAGGCATAGCATTTCTCTGACCTTCATCTTCTCACATCAGTAAAATGGGAGTAATAATGCTTGTTCTGTCTTCTTCCCAGGATGATTGTAAAGAGAATTCTTTATAGGACTTCAAAAAAGTTATTATCAACTTCCCTCAGTCTCAGTTTCTTCATGCCTACAATGGTAAAACAATCATTGCCTTGCTACTGTATAGGGTTGAGGGTTTTTAGATATTATATTAGGGGTGTGTGTGTGTATAAAAATTAGGTGTATGTATATGTGTTTATGTATATGGCATATATGTATGTGTATATATAAATATATATATTATGTGTATATAGAGCATATTCTATCTAAATGTCAACTATTAACATTACTGTTCTAAAAATGTTTCTCCTGCCCTTCTTTGCACAGCTGAGGGACTATGAGTGTGGAACACTGTGTATATACTACCAAGCTTATACTGTCAGTCTTGGCTAATGTGTTAGTTCTGCTAAATTCCATTTTTTCCTCTCTTTTTTATTCAAATTTACAAGGAATGGCTTGCAGAGTAAGGGAGGAAAGAGATATGTCTGAAATGAATATGATCCAAAAATAAATCAGTAATTTTTTTTATATAATGAAGTTTCAATAGTATACATATATATACATATATGTGTGTATATATACATACATACATACATATATACATACAGAGAGAGAGAGAGAGAGAGAGAGAGAGAGAATGTTTTGAATTTGGAAATTATAGCCATTTTGGCCAGAAAGAAAATGTGTAGCTCCACAGCTCTATTATTTGACCACAACCCTTATAATAATTAATTTCTGTGGTGTTTTAAGTTGTACAAATCCCTTTCCTCTCAACCACTCTGTGAGGTAGTTAGTGCAAGTATTATTCCCATTTAACAGATGGTAAACTTGAAGCTCAAGGAAGTTCTCATACATAATAACTGATAGAGCTTGGACTGGAAGCAAAGTCTGTTGACCCTCATGTCCACCACCATGTTTACTACGCCATATTATGTCTCTCTTCCTTAATCATAATGTTAAAAGATAGCTGTTTCTAATATAAAGCAGCCTGCTTTTTATCTGAAAATATGGGTTGCAAATCATTTAAGGCACAAAGTGATTTGGAAACCTTACATTCTTTGTGGATTCCTAGTGAGCTATAGAGAAATTCTTTCTGAGGGAAACTATTTCGGAAATGAGCAGTCAGCAAAATCTTCCTCCTTGCTGAAGACCAATAGCCAGCATTGGAAGATGAGATTGGAAATCTGGACGTTTTCATTTCTAATATTCCTCTTCCTCCCCTCCAACATTTTCCCCTGGAACTCAACTAGACATACCACTGCCCTATACTTCCAAAGGGCATGGAGACAGGAAACGTGTTTATGTATGTTCATTCACTAGCTCTATCATGCAGTTCATCTCTCTGAGCCTCAGTTTCCCCATATGAAAAATTGAGACAATAATCTTTGTACTGCTTCATAATGCTGTTGTAAGAAAAACAAAGTGCTTTTTGTAAGCCTTAAAGAAATGAGCGTCATTATCATCACCCCAAATACAAGCTTTTCTTTGGCATGTGACCCCACGTCTTTGGCGACTGAATTCCTTTCCTTTCTTCTAAGACCAGCTCAAATGCAACCTCTTCCATGAAAGTTTCCCTGATCAACCCACCCAAGACTGATTCTTCATTTCCCAATCCCTCTGACTTCTCCAGTCAATCAACCATGAAGTATTTATTGTGTTCCTGAGTGCCAGGCATTGTGCATGGTGCTGGAGATAGATAAAAAGGAAATGGGCTCTGTCCTCAAGGAGTTACATTGAATCAGAAGCAACAACATGGACACTCAAGTCAATAAGAAATACATCCACAAAGTAAATACAAAGTAATTTGGGGGAAGAGAGGAGCACTGGCAGCTGGTGGGAGGGGGTCCAGAAAGGCCTCGTGCAGGAAGATGACAGGCGCTGACTTTGGAAGAAAGCTAAAGATTCTGAGAGTCAGGGGGGAGGAAGGGGCACACCTCAGCCATGTGGACAGCCTGTGCAGAGGCATGGAGGTGAGAGACACATTGTCATGTATAAAGAACACTAACCAGGCCAATTTGGTTGGAACACAGAATGCATCAAGGAGGAAGTAATGTGTAACTTAATAAACCTGAAAAGAGAAGCTAGTCAATTTGGGAAGAGCCATACCTTCTTATCACATCACATCAGAGTTATTTATTACTTGTATCTATGTCTCAGCTCCCTCGCTACAAGATTGTAACCTTCCTGAGACCTGGGACTGGGTCTTTTTTCGTCTTTCTGTACCCAGCACTGAGCACAATGCTCTGTAGAGAGGAGACACTTTAAAAATGTTTGTTAAATTGAGCCATAGGACCCCTTCTCTTGGGCTGTCCTTGTCCATTGAGTGTGGAATAGGCAGACTATTTTCTGCACGTAAAGTTTTGCCTGGGGAGACATCATGAGCTTCCCCACTGCATGCTGAGTGCAGGCCTATAATAACCCCCTTTACCAAGTCTGTACTCAGAGCTTTGGTGGGTTGATCTAAGATCTGCCGGAGCTTCTGCTCCACACATTCTCCAGGGCCCAGGATGACTGCCCCACGACAGTGATATTAGAATAGTTTTACTCTTTGAGCAGTCTCTGTTTTTTACACATCTCAGTTCAAATCGTGATGCTTTTATTCACTGGGAGGAATAGTTTAGTGGCAAGAGCCCTGAACTTTAAGCCAGGTCACTTTGAATCCTAGAGCTACTATTTACCATTCCTATGACCCTGGACAAGTGTCTTCCCTGAATTCCTGGGTTGTTGTGAGGACCAAATGAGATGATAAATGTAAATGACTTTATAAACCTTTAAAATGCTATAAACAGCTAGCTGACTATTTTTCCCGCACTGTTCTTTTTGCCTTTGTCACTTCTGTTGTTGATCTTTTTTTATTTTTATTTTTGAAGGGGGAAGGGAACCCAATCTACCTATGGTCTCATTAGCATAGGCAATTCCTGATCAACAACCAACCCCCTCATAAGTCAGTATCTACTCAAGGTTAGGAAAGACGGTGAGAAGCTGCAGGAGGGCAACCAGGATGAGGAAGGGCCCCAAAATCATGACAGAGAGATTGACTGAAGGCCTGTTTAGCCCTAAAATGGTTTGGAAGGAGGAGAATATGATTGTCGTCTTTGAGTATTTGAAGGGCAATCAGGTGGAGGAGGGATTTGTCTTGTTCTGCTTGGCCCCAGAGGGCAGAACTGGGAGCTCCTGGCATCCCATGGCTGTTGTAAGGTTAAAATGAGATAATAGATGGAAATTACTGTAGAAACCTTAAAAAGATATAATCATCTAAGTGGCCCTGGGCTGTGTGCTTCACAGTTTTAGGAAGTTACCCTGGCATTGAATAAAGTAATTTGCCAGACTTGGAACACAGGTCTTCCTTCACCAAGGTCAGTCCTCTTTTGCACTATGCCATGCTGCCTGGTTGGTTGCTTGTTGAGGATGGTATCATAGGCCACATAGAAGTTTTGTACAGGTTATACCTGAGTAAAAGCCTAACCTGTATTTGGACCACCTTAGGAAATTCCCTTTTAGTTTCTCGATGCCTCTGTCCCAAATGGCTGCTTCAAGGGCATTGCTACTGGAGATGGTCTTTAAAAATATCACTATCAAGGAAAAGTTCCTAGACTCATGGGAAACACTGAATTCCAGTTTACTCTTAATGAGGTGGAAAGAGTGCTGAATTTGGCATCAGAGGACCTGAGTTCAGATTCCAGCCCTGTTACATACTAGTTGTGTGTGACTTTGGACTAGTCACTACCCCCTGCTGAGACTTAGTTTCCTCCTCTCTGAAGTGAAGAAATTGGACTCAATAAATCTCTAAGGTCCATTACAGCTCTAGATCTTATGGTTTGAAATGATCTAACATCTCTAAAATGGATAGGATCTTGCTGACCTTCAGTCAGTATGAGACTCTTGCTTTTTATTCATTTTTATTCAGGTAAGCCATTTCAGATCTCGAGAGTGCTGTTGTCAGACCATGCGTCTTCCTTGCCAGTGTCCCCACTCACTCCTTGCTCTGGCTATTTTCTCCTCCTCTGCATCTTAGGTCCGCCCCCCAAGACCTCAAGTTGTCAAGCGACCAAAGAGTAATGTCACCATGGAAAGTCGAAGAACTTCAGTGTCAAGCCCTGACCAGTGAGTATGAAACACGTTATTCCCTTCGTCCCACAGGGTGAGCACAAGCAGAGGCCAATGCTTCCTTCCTGTGGAACACAGAAATCCTCTTTCCCCCACTGTGTCCCACCCCCCAGCCTCCCAGGGAGGCCAGGCTGGGTGTTTCACAGAAAGGTCACTCAGGGAGCACAGTTTAATCTCAGAAGCCTCCTGCTGGTTCATGGTATTGTAGGGGCAGAATGTCTAGAGACTAGAGCCCCTGGCAGAGGCTGTCTGGGTATGACACCTGGGTCCAAGTCTTTTGAGATGTAAGACTTAAAAGACACTTAGAGGGAAATTCATTCAGTTTGAATCAGTTTCCACATCATTGTCTTGGCAGTACAGAACAATAGAACTGGGTTCTTCCGTCTGTGACCATAAACATTTTCCATACCAAGGAAGGGGTACAGAAAACTTGCCTAAATTGCAATGAAGATTCATACTTTTTTTTTTGGCTGAACTATACAATAATACTATTTCTGTAGCTCTTTAAAGTTTGCAAAGTGTTTTCTTCACAACAGACCTATAAAATAGGTAATGTACATATTCTCTCCCTCTTACAGATGAGGAAACTAGAGTTAAGAGAAAAGTAAGCTTATATTTACTGGATTTTGAGTGGTAAGGGACCTTACAAATTATATATTCCAAGACCAACATTTTTACAGATGGGGAAACTGACACCCAGTGAGGGGAAAGGACTTGTACAGGATCATGTAGTTAATGTCTGAGCTGGAATTTGAGCCAGGTCTTTAGATACTCTGTAGCATCTATGGGCACTAAGGATTTTCCAGGAAAGTCCTGAAATCCACCTCATATTTGCCCTGCCTTCAGAGACTTAGAGAGGTTTGCTTGCAACACCCGGAACTTAAGGAACTTGCACAGTCACATAACTGGTATGTGTCAGGCCAGACTTGAGCCTGGATCATCCTGATCCCAGAGTCAGAATACCATACTGACTAAGACTAATGAATATTAGCCATAAATGTCAACTCTTCATCGGCTGCATTTGTTTCTCTCTCTGAGCCTCCTTGTCCTTCTCTATAGAATGAGGCCATCCTTCTTGTCCTGCCTGCTGTGCAGGACCATTGTGGGTAATAGAGGGCTCTGTGAACCAGAGTGTGTTAGAGAAGTGGGGGCTATGGTAGAACCCAGGCTGCAATTTATGCTTCAACCCTTTAATGTGGTAAAACTGCAATTACTACAAGCCATTTGCCATCACGACAGGTTTCAGGCCTGTGGATGGGCAGCGACAGACAATGTCAGGAAGTTGTTGTCAGGAAAGAAGTCCTAGGGTGGCAGGATTTAGAGCTATTTGGACTGGAAAAGATCCTAGAAACCAACTAATTCAAAGCACTCATTTTACAGATGAGGAAACTGAGGCAACCCCTCCCCAGGATGAGGAATAGAAGAGGGAGGAAGAGACTTGGCCAAAGTCACACATGTAGTAAATACAAGAGCCAGGGCTAAATCTAGGCCCGGTGCTCTTTCGACTGCATGCCGCTCCTTTGTTTTGGGGGAAATGCTTCATAACTTTAAATTGCAAGAAGGCTGTTTTCCAGAATTGTTCATTGGCTTCAGCTTTCTCCAGACACACAAGCACTGTGGTGAAGGAGAAATCGAGTAGGGATGAGGTGAGGGACAGAAGTGCTCAGTCCTCAATAACTAGGCCACTTTCTAAAAGCTAGCTGTGGCTTGCAGGCCTTCCAGAGGTGGAACAAGATTGCCCCCTTGTGGATAAAATTCCTTATCGCCGTCAAGGACCTGAAGCACCAATGCCTTCTTTCTGTGCCTCCTCAGGATGAAATCGTTCTTTCCCTATTCTAAGGCACGATCCTACTGTCCAACATGTATGTATTGGTCCCAAATCAAATTCTTCTCACCATCAGCAAACATACTTCAAGCACACTGCACTGTGGGATTCAGACTAGCCCAAAAGGATTCTGGGCATTGGAACAGCTGCCTTGAGTGGATCAGATTAACTAATCTCCTTTTTTTACCCTTTTGCTAATCAAATAAATGCAGAGTTAAGAGATGATCCTCTGGTGAATCCAAGGTATCACATAGCTATCAATATTTCATAACAATAACCATTTAGACAGAGTTATTTAAATATCATTCCCTGATTTTTTTGTAGCATAGCAATAGCTCTCTCCACTTGAGTTTCCTATCCTTCTTGATGATATGGGATGACCCTTGGTCCTCATAAGCTGTACCAGCATAGGACAGGTACTTATTATAGATCTTGCTGAACTAGAAAAGCTTCACCCATAGGTCTAAGTAATAGATTCTCTGTGTTATCCCAAGGATCAGGCCACTACATGGGGAATATTTTTTTGGCCACAGCAACTCACAAAAACCATCCACTAAGGCACAGAGCCACCCACATAGATGGAATCATGAATCCTTGACTTATTAAGGCCATAGTAGCTGACATTTATTTATAGCTCTTTATGGTTTGGTTATAAAATATTTTGTGTACATTATCTCCATTGCTTCTCACAATATTTCTTTGAAGTTGGCAGGTCAGGAGTAATTCTCTCTATTTTACAGATGAGGAAATTGAGGTAAGAATAATTTGCCCAAAGTAATACTTGTAGTAAGTTGCAGAAATAGGACCTCAGCCAGATCTCCTGACTGCCACGCTGTATGCCAGCCAATATCTTTACAGAGGTTTCTTAGAACTTGACTTTGTATCTTTCTGGCAGTGAAATGCCCAAGCAAATCAAACTTGTGAAAGTGTGAGTTTGAGCATACTGGCTCATCAGGGAGGTGTCAGCGAAGGCAAGCAAGATTACTAGGACCATCATAGTCATAAATAAATTTTAAAATCCTACTGTGGATTTTAGATAAAAGATTATATTTTGGCATTTTGCTCTGAGGGATGGTGTGTGTGTGTGTGTGTGTGTGTGTGTGTGTGTGTGTGTGTGTTCTCTTTTTTCCTTTTAAATGACTCCAGGAAAAATACCCAGCACGCCCACTCTCCTGTAATGCCAGTGACATTTTTAGTGCAGCCCCAGTGTTTTCCTAAGTGTCTCTCTCTGTCACCCTATCCTCCTCCCCCCCTTGCCTCTCCACATCCAAATGCCATGTACATCATAAACAGCCCTTCCATGTGTTTTTCTCAACTGTCACCAACTTCAACTTGGCAGGACCAACTCCTGCAAACACAGGAAGGATCCAGTGGGGGAAAAATATATTTTAATAAAACAGGCCTGCTATGAAATATTGTTCTAAAAACAACAACAACAACAATCTGCTTGCATCATGCAGGGAGAATTGAGAACTGGGGATGGGGCAGGAAATGAAGCCTAATAGGGCCTGGCCAAGGCCAGTTTTGACTAATCCAGGAGAACAGCAACTGAACCTAACTAAAACTCCCACAGTCATCAAAGGAAACCTTCCAGGTGGGAGATTTGAGTGGCAAAATGCAATCTGAAATACGTAACGCCCATGTGAATTCTCAGTACCACTGGCTTCATACCTTAACTCCAACTCCCCAGTAACACTTTAAGTAATTAACAGTGAGCCTGGAAGGATAAAATAGATTAAGGGCAACACTTTGGGTCCCCAGCCTTGAGCAGCATGATTTTTTTCCCCAGATCATATCCAGCATGGGAGGCAGCATGGTACCAAAGAATACTGAGTTTAAAGCCAAAAGGCCGCAAGTACTAGTTATGCTATTTACTAGCTATATGACATTGGGCAAGTCACTTCATTTCTCTGAGGCTTAGATTCTTTGTCTATAAAATGAGAAGTTGGGTGGTTCTTCCAACTCTAAATCTCTATAATTACTTTCTAAAGTCTTTAAAAGTCCAAATTTGTTATCTTTTTTTTCCTTCCTTTTGTAGCAAATTAGAAAAAATAATCTTTGAATTCCCAGTTAAAATCCCAATTCTGCAACATGTGGTCAGATCCCACAAGGAAAAAAAATATTTTCTAAAAATTCCGTTGTTTCCAATCAAAGGAATAGAACATTAGAGGCAGAACATTCAACATTAGAAATAGACAGGGCCTGAGAACATAGAATATTAGAACACAGAACCTCAGAGCTGAGAGGAACCTCTGAAGTTGTCTAGTCTAAGCCCTTCCCAAAGCAGGAATCCTTCTACAACATCCAATAAAAGTGATATTCAATTTGGTCTCCTCTAGGAATAGAGAATTCACTGTCTCCAGAAGTTCATTCTTTTGTAGGAAAGTACTGTCTGTTGGGAAATTTTTCCTTGGTTCTGCCTTGGGGCCAATCAGAAAAAGTCTAATAACCCCTCCTCCACAGAACACCATTTCACATATTTGAGGACAGTTCTCCTATGCCATCTTCCTCTACCCCTCCTTATTCCTCTGGGTTTTTCTCTTCTCCAGATTAAACATTTCCAGTTCATTCAGAAGATCATCTGTTGTCAAATTCTCTATTTCTCTCACCATCTCAATCACTTTTCTCTGGATTTGCTCTGACTGGTCACTGACTTTTCTAAAATGTAGTGCCCAGAACTGAGTAATGTACTCCCAAATATAGTATGATTAAAGCAAAGAACATCTGGACTTTCTCTAGATATTGTGCCTCTATTTATAGAGCCTAAGAACATATTACCTTTTTTTTCTTTACATTTCACTAAATGAAAATTATTTCATAAAAAGCTACATTTTCAAACACTGGGATGTTGTTTAGTCATTTTATAGTCATGTCTGACTTTGTGACCCAATTTGGGGGTTTTCTTGGCAAAGATAATAAAGTGGTTTGCCGATTACTTCAGGGGAAACTGAGGCAGACAAGCTTAAGGGACTTGCCCAGGGTCACACAGCTAATAAATGTCTGAGGCTGAATTTGAACGCAGGAAGATGAGTCTTACTGATTCCAAGCCAGGCACTCTATCCACTGTGCCATGTAACTAACCCATAAAGGCTGGGCTACCATGCTCATGTTTCATCCATCTCAAAACCTAGTCTCAATCCAGGGCCAGGACAAGTAGCTTGGTACAGAAATT